TGTGTGTGTGTGTGTTTACGCACATGTTTAGCTGTGCTCGCCCTAATAATTCTCGGATTTCGCCTCTGGTTAATTCCGTCTCGAATCAACTGCTCGACCTGCTCAAACAACTGGTATTCTCGAAGAACACAAATGCAGTTATGACAGCGGAGTTTCAATGTGATGTTTATTTCGAATTGCAAATGCCCTTAGGCAACAAGATGTGAGTTTGTCTCCATTGTTTTCGCAAACGGATTTCATGCATAGTTCAACCTATACAGATTTCCAAACCGTAAGTTTACAGTCACCTGCAGTGGACATCACACAACACAAAAAACGCTATCAACAAACACGCACGCAAGGATAGTTGCCCTAATATTAGACACCAAAGTTCAACATATAGAGAAACCAAAAATTTCCACGATTCATTAGGCGAGACAAACCCTTCGCACGTTTCACGTTCACAACTTCGTAGGAGTGTTTGCTGTACAAACAATGCATTCATTGACATTTGAAATGTTCATACTCACGTGGAGGATCGAATGTCTTGATTCTGGCTGACGCTGAGCTCACTCCCTCAATTCCAATTGTACTGATGCGAACCCAGTACGGTGAGCAAACGTCTAGGCCACCGAGAAACGCTGATTTTTCGGCAACGTATATCTCATACACCAGTCGATTTGTTTCATCATAGACATAAACACCATAACGTGGTCCTTGACGCTTCAAGCACTCGTTGTTATCGTCCCAAGTCGCCAGCAGTCCACGTTTTTTGCTTCGTTCAAGCCGGATATTTGTGGGTGCTTGCGGTGCTGAATACAACGGTGTGGAAGAAGGGTGAACGCGCTAGGTTATAAATTCCACCAATGCAGCTGCCAACTAGAAGAGTTACGAACGATCAGGACTGTGATAGTACGGAGTATGTTCAAAATGTCCAATTCCTGAGTTGAATGAACAAATCAATAGAAATGGTTTCCAGTCATCATGTGTGCAATTGTCCGCGACATGCTACCACCGATTGACCCAGTGAGCCCAGTCACGAGGAGATAAGTAAACCAAGAGTAGTTGGATTTTCTAA